AGCGTTTTGCATCTTGGGCAACTTCCAGATTTATGGATTTCCAACACCCAGAATTCCTAACTATACCTGTGTTAGCTGGGGAATTCTGGGGAATATCAGTAAAGGAGAATATTTGTAGCTCAAAGTTGACATGAGGGACCCTTGGTGCTCTCTCAGCTTGCTTGTTTTCTTGCAGACGTTTCATTACCCAAATTACTCTAGACTAGCATTGATGATGTTACCTAGTTTGGGTAATGAAACATCTGCAAGAAAACAAGCAAGTGCAGAAAGCATCAAAAGCTCCTCAATTCCCATACCATCTGGATGTTGTCCAGTTTAAAAACACTGCTATAACCCAAGAACTGAAAAAAAGAGGATGCTAGTTTTATGGCACAGAAACTATATTATAGTATTTTTTTTTTTGCTTCTTCTCCATTGTAAGAATTGTGGGGGAAAAATAATCATATACAATGATGGCACAAGCTTAGGCTGTCTTTATTTCTATAGTCACAGATATTTATGGAGGCAATTACCAGTACAGCAAATGATGAAAGCATTATTGTGCCATTGTGATATAAGATGCACTCTTTGTACCTACATTGTGATGTCACATGCACATACGAAAGGGATGGAACATGTACCAAGATGGCATAATGTTTCTTTCATCCTTTTGAGGAAACGATTAGATTTATTTATTTTATATATTAAATTTATATGCTGCATGACTCCCATCCTGGGCATGTCTCTGGCTTGTTAATATCCATAAGGAAAAACTGATGCTCAATGGAAAATGCAGTTATATTAAAATGATTGCTATTGTGGTTTTTTTTTTTTTTAAATTAAGTCCTTCAAATTCAGCATGTTCCATGGCTAGCATTATCTAAGTGAATGGCTTGCAGACGGTTGCTAAAACTGAAGAATAATTTGGCCAGAATCCTCTCCAGGATTTTTCCTCTCCTCTAAGCACACAGGAAAAGGAGGGAAATCAGACTGTAATATTTCACATAGGGTGTATTTTGTTCCAAGGATATTTGTTTAAGAAACACTAAGTAAGTCAAGGAATAGATATCAATGCTGATGTTACAAACAATGTTGCCCCTCCTATCAATGCTATTCTATTAATCTAATCTTGTTTTTCTGCTATCACTGTTTAATGAGTACAAAAGCTGATGAAGTGTGCTGGGTTTGGTTCCTGTATTCCTCCAACAGAAGGAAGGTAGATAACTCATATATAGAGATGGCTTTAATTCCAAATCAGACTGCCCAATCTAAACTCAACAATAAATGCTGCGCCACCATTCCTACTGCCATCAATTACTACATTTCACATGAACTTCTAAAAAATGCATTATATTACAATGTATGTATTACTAGGTTGCATATTCATTGTGCATGTGTATTGGTTCAGATTATTTTTTTACATTTTACACTGTTTTAAAATGTTTAAACATTGGAATATTTAAAATGTTTTAAATATAAATAAAATAAAAAGTTGCTATAAAGTAGAAGTAGATACATTTCAATTCTTTTTCTTTATTTCAGTTCTTAATCACACAGCCACTCTGGCAAATGGCAAGAGTTTGTGGAATTTGCAGTCCAAAATATTTGGAATATATCAAATTGCCTATGCCTGATAGCAGATTGTCAGTTACAAAAGCATCAGTTATAAACGCCAAAACATATGGACGTTGTGAAACAACCTACAGGAGGGTTTGTACATTCTTTATGAGAGACTATCCAAATCCTCTAGATTTATGCTTATCCATTTTTTCCCATTTCAGAAATACATATATGTAGAATATGCTCCACAAATAAACAAATGGAGTTATCACCGAATTCAGATGGCCATGACCATTATGCAGACAGAATTACACTCTTAATTAAAAAAATCCAGTCACATGAATATCCCAGTTTATGTGTATTATATTCAATTTATTTCAATAAATAATCATCTTGCCAAGGCTCAAGACATATATATGTGTTTTAAACCAAACACAATTATAGTACCTAGTTCTTTTTATTGTTTGGGTTAGTAAATATACTGCATTTAGTTAAAACATTGATGCACAACAAAAAGTAATTGATGTATTGTCCAAATTTAAAGCAAAGTCAGTAATTTTGCTTTAATCCACTATATCAATCCACTAATCCTTGTTGAATCAAGATATATACAAATTACTATAAGGCTGCTGAGGACATTTCAAAAGTTTCACTTCCCACTGTTGATCATTCTGCTGTAATATAAATTACTGAAATACAACCCATATTTGGGCATGGATACCTATTGTATTTTACTGATACTTATTTTTTTCAGATTCCTTTCTTAATTAAATAGCGGTATACAATATTGTCAGAATGCAAGGCTTTCACCATTCCAGTTACTGCACCTTTGCCTGTATTTTAGATTACATCACTTGGCACTAGTTCATGTACATTACTTGGCACTAGTAGTGTAGCTATACAGAAAAGTCAGTATATTTTGATACAGTGATTTCTTTCAAGGAACTAACTTGCATTAATGGCATTTTATTGTTCATATATTGCATAAAAGGAACACAGAGACTCTCTCTTTCACCTTATTTTGAGCAGTGTACAGCATCCCCTTAAGCAAGCCTACTGCATTATAACACTTAACCGTTTCCTTGCTTCCTAACATACATGCAACAAACTTCGCATTAGAATTAAACTCCCTTTCTTTATACAAGTACATACTCAACCTAATATCAAAATCAAAATATGCTATTCTATTATTCATACAACTCATTAATGTCATTAACTACACAAGAACATGACAGTCCATTGCTCTAAAACCTCTGAACTACAGAGATATTTCCAAGTACCTTAAACCCAGCATTAAATATTCATTGCAGCCAACCACAGCTGGTCCCCAAACCCCTTAGTTAACATTATTCCTGCAGGAATTGAAAGGGCAATGAAATTTACTTTGCACAACCTTACATAGTCATGTAAGAAATATATCTAGAAAAAAATATGTCTAGAATACAGCAAGTTCTAAATAAAAAAAATAAAGGATGCAAATCAAAAAAAGCTACCTCTAGATTCTAAATCATCATAACACTGCAGGATGCATTCAATTGGAGAAGTGTTCTACAAGCTTCCAGTTTCCATAACCTCTGCAATTAGATGCCTTCATGGGACATGGATGTGAAAAGTAGTTTGCAGCAGATAGTGCTTTGATTGTTTTTTTTAAAAAAGGAGATGAAGCATATAATATGAAAACAGAACACTATTTGCACTTTTGGGGGACTGAACAATGACCTATTTGGACATCAAAATACTGGGCAAAGTATATTACATCACATGCAATCCTATATACGTTTATTTGGAAGTAAATCCATGTGAGACCTGCTCCCAAATCAGTATACATGGGATTGTCATTTAAATGCTGTCCCTAGATACCATGTTTTTTCACTCCACTTTTTGATATTCTTGGGGAATATCAACCTATGTTGAGAGGTAGTGTTGATATCAAGTTGGTCTTGTGCCATATCGAAGTAAAGCTAGTCTCCTTTGGAGTCGAGCTCGACTCCTGGTGACTTCATGAGCACGTCTATGAATCCCGGGTGCAAAATTCTCACTCAGCCCCAAATTGTGCAAGTCGTCCAAGACGTTTCCGCTCCAGCTCAGCTTCCGCACCTGTAAAATGGGTCGATTAACCTGCCTGGCGGGCTTATCGAAAGAAGGATTAAAAGGCAAGGGCAGTCAGTCAAAGCCCTTCAGGAGAAGAGCAACAAAAGGGGCTTACATGCTCCAGTTTGTCTTTCCTTCTCAGCCAGACGCTGGCACTGTAGTCCTGCTGCTTGACGGCGCTGTAGAAGTTGGGCCCCACGCGGGTCAGGCTGGGCGAGGGTTCCCGGGGTCTGCTCTTCAGCTTCATCTGCTCGAAGCCCTCGGGGCGGGTCGAGGAGGCGAGCCACTCGCTCCTGCCTTCCATCTTGACATGACAAGGCAAAGTCCACGGCGGACCCAAAGAAGACACCGGGCGGAGAGCTGCCAGGAAGGCGGCGAGCGCGGCGCTGGGTTTAGGAACAAAGCGCCGACGACAAAGCACTGGGGACACCCGACGGAGGCAAACGGCCGACACGCTCGAGGGAAACGGCGCACCCGAGTGCCCGGTGGGGAAGACGAGGCGGAGGGAGCCCTAGCAGGGGCAGGAGCCTCTGGCCCCCGCCGAGCTGCAGCTCGCTGCCAACGCAGCGGCCCCAACCCGCTCTTTGCGGCACTGGCTGCTGGCAGAAGCTCGAACGGCTGAGGGGAAATCTGAGAGCGGCCACACACATTCTCGGGCGGGCAGGAAAGAAAGGAGGGAGGGGCCGAGGCGGGAGGGAGGGAGGGAGGAACGCACGCAGCGGCGGCCACGGGGAGCTGAGGGGCGCGCGCCCCCTCCCATCCCACGGATTCCACCAGCCTGCAGGTTGGTGCAGTGGCGGGGCTTCGCCCTTCGCGTCCGTCCCGCGCCTCCGCGGCCGCCAGCGGCTGAGGAGAAGGGAAACAAAAAACTTCTGCCCGCCGCCGCCGCCGCCATTCGAACCGGCCGAGCATCTCGCGTTAGAAATGCCCTTTAATGGCTTGCGCTTCAGCGGGAGGCACCAGCAGGTGCGGCGGCGGTTCGGCATCAACTGGTTTCCCATCCAAAGTTGGCCAACGCTTGTGTATCCGCGCGCCCTCGCTCCCACCCAGCCCCGCTCGGACCCTGGGTGAAAAGTTGAGCAGTAGGGAGCCGGACCATCGCCGAGCGTTGGCAAGGGCAGCTCTGGGATCGATGCAGGCTGAGCGCCCAGCGATGGACCCGAATGGGAGTTTGTTAAGTTGAGGGCCTTGCCAAACTGCTCACTTGAAATCCTCTCCCCCATTCTTGAATCCGCAGAAAACTCCACTGGCCGGAAATAAGGCCGATCCCCCCCCCCCTCCTGACTTTACTGCCACTGTTTCAAGTCACTGCGTTCGCTGGAATTCTCTGTAAGATCATAAAACATAAAAACTTAACAGATTATGCATACCTTGAGGCTGTCCTTGAACGGTCTCAGTAAGAGGAAAAATACTGTAACGTTATAGATAAGGATGATTTAATCCGAACTGGAGAGGACAGCAGGATTACCTTGCTTTTGCTGTAGTCAGGTGCTCATCAACAGTATTATGTGATCACAGATTTGCCTTGAGATATCAATAATAGCCCCTTTGCCTTGACAACCTCTACTCTGAGTTAAGATGCTCCAGAACTTGGCCCTTTCCTTCTTACTGGGGGCATCATCTCCACCCCAAGAAAAAATGTGATCAAAGTGTTGCTGTCCCAATGGCCGGAGGCTGAGTTTGGATGGGGTGAAACAGGCTAAGGTTTAATAAGATGGACTGGTTATAGATTTAGAAACCAGAATAACAAGAGTTGGAAGAAAACCTTAGAGGTCTTCTAGTCCAACTCCCTGCTCAATCAGGAGATCCTACATCATTCCAGACAAGTGGCTGTCCAATCGCTTCTTCAAAACCTCCAGTGTTGGAGAACCCACAACTTCTGAAAGGAAGCAGTTCCACTGATTGTTTTAACTGTCAAGAAAGTTGTCCTTATTTCTAGGGTGATTCCCTCCTTAATTAGCTTCCGTCCATTGCTGCTGCTTCTGGCTTTCAGGTGCCTTGGACAATAGATTCACACACACACTCTCTCTCTCTCTCTCTCTCTCTCTCTCTCTCTCTCTCTCTCTCTCTCTCTCTCTCTCTCTCTCTCTCTCTCTCTCTCTTCTTTGTGGCAGCCCCTGAGATACTGGAACACTCTAGTCCTTTTTATTAAACTAAATAAAACCATTTGATTCTGGGGGAAGGAAGGAGTTGCAATATCCAGGTTCTCAATCTGTAGGTTTGCTGGACTAACAAGTGATCTCAGAAGAACAGACTAATACCTCTGCATAATTTCATTTTGTAAACCAATTGTAGCCAGACATGCTCTTATGCAGGGGTCTTCAAACTTGGCCCTTTTATGACTTGTGGACTTCAACTCCCAGAATCCACCAGTGGATTTTTCCTAGCCCGAATCATAGTGTCATATCTTCATCTTTTTCATGTTTGCATAACTGTTCCGTCTGGCTTGAGAATCCATTACTTCCCACCTTGCCAACTTCAACCCTTATATCATTTCACTGTTTATTCTTCCCCTCCCTTTCTCCACATGTGGGAAAATAGAGAGCATTATATCCCACCTTCCATTTCCATTTCTTATCAAATTGAACTGACAGTCTTCTCACCTTCAGATTCTGTAAGCCTCCATATAGGCAGGAGCCTATAATCTTTGAGGGTGATGGGTAGAGTGGTTTTCCATTTCTTCTTTAATTGGAATTGAAAGACTTTTCACTTTGTACCCACCCTTTCCACAATCATATGCAAAACTTTGTTAAAGTTTGCTAATTGGATAGGAAAGAGGCATCAAGGGGAATATCAAAGACTTTAACCTTGGGTCCTCCTCTCTTCCATATGTCATTAAAGATTTGGAAATATAAGTGGAGACAAAGCTTGTCAAATTTGCTAATGTTATATAAACTGGATGTGATAGATAATAATCTAGAAGATAAAAGTCAATGATCTTGAGAGGCTGAAGAAATAGATGGAACTAACTGAATGCAATTAAACAGGAAAATGCAACATTTTTATTAAATGTTTCTCCTCTCGCCCTCTCATATAGTATGGAGAATACCTCGCTTGATAATAGCACTTGCAAAAATAGTATATTAGGAATAGTAGGTTAATTGCAAGCTGGATATGGGCCACCAATGTGATGTGGAAAGAAGGGAAATGTAATTTCAGGCTGCATCAATATAATTTCCAAATCATGGGAACTAATTATTACATTTAACCATGAACAAAGTTGACTAATTGATGATAGATAGATAGATAGATAGATAGATAGATAGATAGATAGATAGATAGACAGACAGACAGACAGACAGACAGACAGACAGACGGACAGACAGACAGACAAATATCTTCATATTCCTGAAAGATTGTTATGTGGAATATCAAGACCAATTCTCTCTTGTTCAAGAATACAGGATACAGAATAATAGGTTCAAGTTATATGAAATCATATTCCAACTGAATGCTAGAAAAGAAATTCTTAAGAGCAATTTGAGAACGGAATTACTTACACAGTGAGTGAGCAGGCTCAAGGTCATTGGATGTGTGCAAATGGAGGCATCTCTCTTAGGTATTTTAATTTGGATTCTTGCATTGCTTGAGAGGCCAAATTGCCTCTTCCACCTCTATGATTCCAACAAAGAAACATATATCTACTAAGTGGGGAAGAAGAAAGATGTTTTGTATTAATATAATTCTGAAATGGTATATGTGGTGTCTTTTCCTATAAATGTGGTAGTCCCAGGTTTGTTTACTGTGCTGTCCTGAGAATAACGGAGATGTGGAACTGGGCTTATTTATTGCTTATTTACCTTTTTTTTTTTACTTCCCCACCCACTGCCCATACTTTGTGGAGTAAGAGAGGTGATTGCTCAGCAATCCACCAGTTTCAACCACCCCACTAGGTTGCCTTGCTGCTTGTTCAATTATGGCAGTTTCTGCCTCATTTTTCTCTAGTGCGATTTCTTCCCATATATTTATTTCACAATATTTTCAACTTGAGAGATGCTGAAATGAAATATGGGAGGAAAGGCTGATTCATCAGCCTAGCAAAACCAAGAGAGGGTTCCTGGAATGCACCATAATATCAGTCCCTCTTCATTTGTCCTACAATTTTCCAATTGGTGGGTGTTTCTGATATTAGTCGTAGGATGACCAGAGATCACTGCAAAGCAAGAAAAGAAAACCACTCAGTCATTTTGCCCACAATAGCTGGCATGCCACATAAGATCAGAACAATATCACTTGGTTGGGACTTGCAGCAGACAGAACTGGGTCAGGATAGAAATTGGTGATGATGATAGCAAATCTGTATTGTGCTGAGACACGAGGACAAATAGTTGCTCTTTAACTCAACAGTGGGGAAATAGCCTAATATGGCTATCTTTTGGGAGAAGAACCTTACTCTGGAATAGACATATTAGACAATTTCTCATTGGCCTGAAATATATCTAGATTTGTGGGATTTATGTACACGTAAACCTAACAGCAGAACATGAGACTTAATTCCATATAATCGGAATAACTGAAGGGGGGGGGGACAAATTTTCAGAAGAGTGCAGACAAACCAGCTTTCAATGGAAAGATGGCTGAAATACTAGAATTTGATGCAGGAAGCTTCTTCAGGTGTGTTTTTAAGCAAAGTACTAATTTCTAATAATTACTGTTGTTATATTTTTAATGAAAGCTAATATTGACAGGCAATCCACATATCCCATGATCAGTCTCATCCTTGCCTAATGGACCTGTCAGGGCTGGGAAACAGGGAATCTATAACAATACCTTCTCCAGAAACAGAGGACCTGCTGCTTCTAGTTCTACCTTATTTCTCATGAGATTTGCAACAGCATTTGCTTCAAGCTAGGCTATAATTTCACTTCCCTTTGTCTGTTTTCTTCATTCATCTGGGAATTCCCATCATTAGGAACATGATGAAATTTTGTTAGCATTCTCTCTTGGCAGGCTGTTTCTATGGTGAGCCCCTGACAGCAGCCTATCTGCCCCAAGAGACTCTACTGTTGCCAAGGTGAAGAACAGAATGCCAACATGGCCAGAAGGGTTATGCAGAAATGTGGAATGGTAGCAGAAAGGTTGGCTGAACAGTACTTCACAAAACGAACTGGGTTCGTTTGAGAATGTATGTCACATAAATTCTCATAGAAACTGGCCCCATTTTTGATATTCCCACTTTTCAAAAGAAGTACGGCCATACTGCACATCATCCTGCAGAAAGATGGGCTAAAGAAAGAATTTGCACCATGTGTTATACTGAATACTGATGACTTCAACTGAAAATTTGTTCCCTATTGAATTTACCAAAAATTGTATCAAATTCTTAAGGCTAGCATCAAAGCCATGAAGAATAAGGTTACTTATGCATTTTAATGTATAAGAACTGCTAATGCAATATCTTAAATTATGTTGTTTTAGTATTCTGCCTCATCTTGAAGACCAAGGGTAATATTAATTTTAGAATTAAAAATGTGCATGTGTGTGTATATATAATCTGTGTGCACCAATGTAACTAAAACCCATTTGCATCTGTGATTCTTAAAAGATCTTGAGTGTATACCAAATATATATAAAGAAGATGAAGGAAAAGGCTGTCATTTCAGTTAGAAAGTATATCATAGAAATATAGCAAAGAAAACTGTATAATTATTCAGAAGTAAAGCAAAGAACTTTATTGATTATTTTTTTAAAAAATACTTTCACAAATAAGGTGATATCTATACCTCACAAAACAAGACTAAGGAAAAAGATGAGGACAAGAAAATGAGCCCAATAAAGTTCGTCAAGACTCCTAAATATGAAAAAGTCTTTGAAGAGTTAAAAGTTAATGTCATGTTTCAATTTATCCATTTATTTTGAAACTGTTCCACCTAATAAGGATTTGGTGTTATGCAAGAGTTTGAAGAAAATGTGTAACATCTACATTTTTATCTTTCAGAAAAGTTCTTTCCTAGAGAAAGAATCTACAGTACCACAAAGAAAGAGGCTTACACTGTGAAACAGACAGTGGGAAAACTCAAAGTTTACTAGTGGGGTCATGAAGTCACCAAATCACCGATTACCAGCTCTCAAGTTGGGTTATACAAAAATAAAAGGCACTAACAGAAGGCTTACACACAAGTATTTTACCACACACCATACATCTTTGTAGTTCAACATCAGTCAGGGAAACAGCACCCAGTTGCTGATTTTCTGTCTAGATAATTGAATTGACCCAGATATTGCTATCTTCAAGACAGAGATTAATAAAGCCAGAAGAAGGAATGGAGAAGATTAAAAGAGGCGGTGGTGACAATATGTAGCAGCTAAAGGGTGTCTGATATCCTGTCATGAGCTTGCAGAGATACATATAGCTGATAACATAGGCTGGGAGAAGAAATAACCTACTTTTCTCAGAGACACACAAAAAAGGGAGCTGTTGTGCTATTCAGAGGGAGGAGATTGCTTGGAGATTTGAAGAGAGATTGAGAAGTGACCCAAAAGTGATTCTAAGCCTCGCTGGCTAATAAAGCTTTCTTGATCCCAATGCAGACTGAGGTAAGATTTCTGAAGCAGAGCTGGGTGGGGTCCGAAAGCCACCAAAGAAAGATGTTGGTGTTTTCCTGTGTACAATCATTTCTTCCAAGACCTTTGTGATCATTTACAAGTTTGCATCAACTTGTGCAAGCTTTTGCAAAATGAGAGCTCCCTCCCTCCCTCCCTCCCTCCCTCCCTCCCTCCCATTTGTAACTTGCTTTTCCAACAGGATCTTCACAAAAGCTTCAACTAATACAACTCAAGATGGGAGAGGCTCTATTCTCTTATAAAATGTGGTAGACTTCAAAGAAGACCTGCACTTTCTTTAACAACTTTGGTCAGCATTCTTTACATCAGAATGCTGCACAACATGGAGTCCACTGGCAGTTTTTTTTGAAAACTCAATGAATTCACCATCG